TCAGTAAAGCCTTTGCGCAGTCAGTAGCAGGGGTGGGGAACCTTTTTTTCTGCGAAGGGCCATTTGGATGTTTATGACATCATCATCTGCAGGCTGTGCAAAATTATCAACTTAACAATTAGCCTGTTATATGTGGTCAAACATTTGATGAACTCACTTGGTGTTCAGTTTGAACTGCAAGGTTGGCAGTTCAAGCTCACTAGCTGCTACTTGGAAATCCTATACAGGGTCGCAATTAGTTGGAATCGACTCATTAACACTTAACAACAAATGGGATGGCTGGAACTGTGATTGGCTTGGCAGGGCCAGACCAAATGATTTTTGTGGGCCTTATAAGGTCTGGGCCCACTCGTTCCCCACCCCTACTTTAGAGCAATGCTGCTGTTCCCTTGTAGTGTTATTATTACAGCAAAATATCTTCCGTCTTTTGAGCAAATAAACACACGTGCTACATGTTTTTTGAAACCTGCATAAACCCCTTACCTTTTAGTTTCCCATATGTGTAATGCATGTTACAAGCACGTGTATGCTATTTTCATGTGCACATCAAAAACACCACATAACCATTTGCATTTCCATTCTAATCATTTGCAAGTGTCTATCCCAATGGTCAGCGGTTCGAAACTACCAGCCGCTCCGCGGGAGAAAGAGGAGGCTTTCTACTCCCGTAAAGATTTACACCCTTGGAAACCCTGTACAGGGTCGCTATGGGTCGGAACCGACTCAGCGGCACTTAACAACAACAACAAATCCCAATGGTATTGATTCAGATTCATAATGTTCTGCAACCATCACCATCATTTACTTCCAAAACTTTGTCAACTCCCTAAACAGAAACTTTTACCCATTGAGCAAGAACCCCTATCACTCCACGCACACACGCAAGTCTCTTGTTAATTGCCATTGAGTTGGGTCCGACTCACAGCGACCTTGTATAGGATTTCCAAGGAGCAGCTGGTGGGTTTGAAGCACTGACCTTGAGGCTCAAACTGACCTTTTGTATTATTAACCGCAGGGCCAGTGTATTATTAACCGCAGGGCCCAACAGTATGTGCATCAGAAATCACCTAGGGCCCCTTTTTAAAAAAAATGCAGGCGCCTAGTGCTACCTCCTAGTGTGGTACTGTGGGTTGATGCTCTGGACTGTAAAGTTATGTTGAATTACAAGGTTAGCGGTTCAAGCCCAGAAACTCTATACAGGGTTTCTATGGGTCAGAATTGGCTCAATGACACTTAACAACAAGTGCTACCTCCACAGCTGTCCCTATGTCCACCTCTCCCAGTCTAAAGATCAAAATTGTGGCATGCTTTTTAAAATAGAGGTTAGTAAGTTCAACAAGTTTGGAAAGGCAGTTTCCTTCCCAAAGAAAAGGCACAGCATGTTAGGAACTAGTTCACACACCACAGAGTACCTTTTGGATATCATGTATATAGAGATTTGGAACCCCATTTTGGGTGCTCAAAGTTGACTAATTCAAGTTAGAAACCTGAAATGAGTTGCACCAAGTCGCTTGCCTTTTTCCTCATTGTCTTTCTCAGATGCAGAAGCTGCTTATAGTACCGACTCCCCAGTTACCTCTTTATATCTTTGGGTTTAAGTTCCCAAGTGTGTCTGGGACTGGCTGGATCTCAGGCAGGACTTTAGGGAGAAGGACAAATTACCTTTTTTGCAGTGCTGCCAAAGGAATAAGCTGTGCATTCAAATTCTGGGTTGTCTGGCTAAAGGTGGCATGCTGGGCTTATTCACATTAAGTGTGTTACCATGCTGTTATCCTTTAGACAAGACAGGCTTTTACCATTTGACAGAGTCTTCCTGGAAAGATCATGAAAGTAGGCTCTCTCTTGTGCCTTTTATTTTCTCTTCGTTTTAGGTGTTACCGAAGCCAAGATGTGCTCCAGTCTGCAGGTCTCCATTAGGGTAGTAATGAGTGGAGCACATGAGCCACTCTGGGTCTTGTCTGTGTGCCAATGTAAGCAGCTTTGTCTACTTTTAGCACATTACCAGTAAAACTTTATTGCTGCTATTCCTTTTGCACGTTTGAACTGCAAGATCGGTGGTTCAAATTCATCAGCCACTCCTTGGAAACCCTATACAGGATCACTATGACTCAGAACCGACTGAGTGACACGTCACAACCACAAAAACCCCTTTTCATAGGAGCTCTAGTGGCGCACTGGACTGCTAAATCGTCAAGTCAGACCCACCAGCTGCTCCACAGGAGAAAGATGAGGTGGTCTTCTCCCGTTAAGATTTACAGCCTCAGCAACCATAGGGCTAGGCGACTTTTTCTGACAAATGTTTAACATCATTCTCAGGTCATAGAAAATCCTCAACTTAAAAATTCGCCTGTTGTAGTTGGTCAAATGTTTAATTAGCTCACACCAAATGTGATGGCTGGAACTATGGTTGCCTACTCTACTCAAGGCCGAACCAAACGAAGGATGTTCCCAACCCCTGCTATATTGGGTTGCTTTGAGTAGGAATTGACTTTATGACAATGGATTTGGTGCGTTTGAGTTTTCACCCCTTCTGGAAGGGTACAACTTCAATTAAAAATTCTTGAGCATAAGTGTAAACCCATTTACATGTCATACTTTCTTAAATGGAGAAATAGTCTCTTCTATAGTCTTTGGATCGCCTGTCTTTAGGTTGTATGGGTGTACATTGCGGACAGGATTTAGAACTAGTTCAGTCCAGTTTGCCCCACCCCTGGTAATATGCTTTTCCACCCCAGACATACTGGATCAGAACCTGTATTTTAACAAGATCCCCTGGTGATTTCCCATGATACATAATAAGAGTTATGATTATGGAGAACTTGTTAAAATGTACATTCAGTATATTTGCGGTGAAAAAGTACCTTCTTAGCAAGTGGTTGACCCAGTTGGAAACCTAGATTAAGGGAAAAGGGATTATGTTCTTGGGACTTACAAGCCTGTTTCGATAGGATTTGATAGTGTGAATCCCCCCCCCCCCCCAATAATACTGGGTGAACCTAGATCATTACCCAAATTCTCGGACTCTACTGCCTGGGGAATTTAATGCCTCCCACCATGGAATCTTTGCAAAGGCGTTCTGGTAGCGAGCGTAATGATGACGAGTCCGGCTGTGGTTTGAAACTACCAGCCGTTCCATGGGAGAAAGATGAGGCTTTCTGCTCTCGTAAAGATTTACAGCCTCAGAAGCCCTATACAGGGTAGCTATGAGTCAGAACCCATTCCACAGCACACAACAACATCCACCATGGAATCTTTGTAGGGGCTTAGAAATCAGCCTATATGCATTTCAGTCCATGGTAATCTTAAGAGTATCTGCTGCCTTATTACAGAAGTAATTCAATAAATACGCCCTCGTGATGTTTGTTCTTAGTCCGACCATTCCAATAATTTTCCACATGGGATGTGAGGGGGATGGGTCCACTGGAAGAGTTGGAGCCCTTCATATTATTTTATGTGATAAGACTCGAAATGGGAGTGATCCCTCAACCTTGAAACCAGGAGACAACTGGCTAGGTCCCTTGTTAATTATGTGTCCTAATTCCAAAGTCCTACTGCAAATGTGTTAAGCCAGACAAGAGGGAGTTTTGCTTTTGGTTCCAACAAAGGTGTTTCCATAAACCTGGAACCTACCAGTAACCCTTCTTTTTCTGCACTCCATTTATGCAATCTGTTTGTTCTTAGAATTAATTATCTGTTGACCAAGGGTTTCCGAAATGCCACAGCAAACGTTTACTTCAAGGCACAGTTTTTGTTCTGTGACAGAGTCAGGTTTATAGGGGACTTTGAGGCTTATAGAAAGAAACCCCACAAACTTCCAAACTGGAAACCAAATGGATGCAGCTGGGCTTGAGGTGGGAACTATTTTGTACCTGGGGCAGCTGTGGGGTGATGAGTCTTTGATATTTGCTGGAAGCCATTCGTCTGTATTGGGATGAGGGGCTATACTCCATAGAATTTTGGCTTGCTAACTGCAAGGTTAGCAGTTTAGACCCACCAGCCACTCCATGGGAGAAAGATGAGTATAAAGGTTTACAGCCTCTAAAAACACTGAAAAGCAGTTCTACTGTGCCCTATAGTCACTAGATGAGCTGGACTCAGCTCAATGGGCAGGGGGTTTGGTTTGGTTTAGTTTGATTTATTTATAATAGTATCTGATACAGGAACCCTGGTGCAGCAGTGGTTATAAAGCTCAACTGCTAACTAGAAAGTCAGTGGTTCGAATCAAGCAGTTGTTCCACAGGAGAACGATGTGGCAATCTACTTCAGTAAAGATTTTTGAGCCTAGGACCATTATGAGTTGGAACTCGATGGCAGTAGGTATTCTACACAGAAGGCTCTGGATTAGAAAATCCTCAAATTGAAGGTCATTTAACATCACCCTTTGTGGTTGATCATAGACATCAGTTGTCCAGTCTTTGCAGTACACTTAGCTCATGGCTTTCCCGCAGAATAGTTAATTATTCCTATAGTGTGCCACCTCCAGTGATGGTCATATAGTTGCTCAATTGTCCTTCATTAAGGGGCTCTCTCTTGAAGTGTGGCATGGTGCTGTAGGATCAGCATTGGACTGTAAACCACAAGGTTGGCCGTTCAAACCCACCTCATCGGAAACCCTATACAGGGTTGTTATGAGTTGGAACCGACTGGACGGTACTTAACAACAGTAACAACTCTTGGAGTATAAACTCCTAAAGCTTAAAGACAACCTGTCTTGTCTCTTCGACGTACATATACAGTATTTAGCATAGTATTGTGGGGGAATTTGTAAAGGAGTTTTGAACTAACACTGAAGTATACTCTGTTTATTGACCACACCAGTTATCCTGTGTTTTGATGAGGATTTAGGAAAAAAAAAAATTTTTTTTTTTCTTTAAGAAGAGAATACATGTTTTTTAGGCTTCACAGATGGAAACAAATAAGCAAGTGTTCCCCGAAGCCAAACCTTCTTTCTTGAACCTAATGAATGATACTGAATGTCTGTCCTACTTTGTATCTTTTAGGCGATCATTTGAAGATCTGTCCCCAGGGTTATACCTGCTGCTCTCAAGAAATGGAGGAGAAGTACAGTCTGCAAAGTAAAGATGATTTCAAAAGTGTGGTCAGCGAACAGTGCAATCATTTGCAAAACGTCTTTGCTTCCCGCTACAAGAAGTTTGATGGTAAGTTTTGGAATTTCTGTCCACATGTGCATCCATATGGGGCCTACCCTTAATTTTGTTTTATTACCTTTGTGCAACTCTTATGTAAGAGCTGACAGAGTCTTCCTCAGGTAACTTTGTACAGTTGCTTTTGCAGAATTCCTCTCTTCCCTCAGTGCTTACTTACATTTTTTGGCCAAGATGTTCTCTTTGCTGATTCCCAGGGGCCAGTTTGCCTGTCAACTCTATTGCTAGAATGCTCTGGATGTACTAGAATCTGTATATGGTAGGCATTATGGAAATATGGTCACAGGGAGCCAAGAAATAGATTGAAGTCATTTCATTTAAATGCTTTTATATATTTTCTTGGGTGAACACAGAATAATGTTGTTGACGCAAGTCACTAAATTTTTTCTTTTCCCCTAATAAAAAGCAATGCTACAGATGCTGGGCTTCAAATTAAGTTTCAGAATGGATCCCCTAAAGACAACCTGCATTCCTAGTGACTCTGCAGAGCCGAGACAGGATTAAAGCCCTGTTCTTAAGTCTCCATGCAGCTGTGGCCCAGAGGTTCTGCAGAGTCTTGTAGGAATGCTAGAGCCATCTCCCATTCTCTTTTCAGCGGGGGTACAACTTTGTAAAGAATTGAAGCAATGTTACAGATAACAGATTGAAATATATATATTTAAAGGAGAGAGAACGGGATCGAAAGCGCCACAGGATTCTCTTCCATGGTGTGCTGTCATTCACTCAGTTTTGAAGATTGTTATGAAGTAGATTTAATTTTAATAGGAATGATTTCCTTTGTGCCCATTTTAAAAGGCCATTCTAATTACATAGTACCTTTGAAGCATGCTTTTCTTCACATTATTTGTGGTGAAGAAGTACAAGGCAAATTTTTAAGATGTGAAATGTCTTTGAGTATTTCTGCAAAGGGCTCGTTACCATGGTGAGCAAGTTAGACGAAATTAGATTTGATATGCGCTGATAAGGCAGCCCCCTAGCTAAAGAACAGGTTGTAATTCAAAAGTTAGCTTTGAGCTTCGTTATTTGAAACTCATAACTGAACAACTGATAGACTGTCTGGTTCCAAGGCTAGACCACAAAAAGTCCATTTTATCTATAGCATAACTAGTTAACTAAAAGATTGTCTGTGTAGTGTCCCATTTAATCCTACTCATTTTTTGCCAAACACTGTTTGCCTGAAAATTGTGTTCAGTCTTAATTTTATCCTCTCCTTTTCCTGCAGTGAAGCCATCTATGAAGGTACTTTATGAACTTTGTGGAAAAATTCCATTTACTTTGAATTCCATTTTCCTATGAGCTTTTTGACGCTTCTTTGTATATATCCCCTTTCACACCCCACTCTTCTTTCCCACATGCTGTAACTGTTGAACAGTATTTGTTGTTGTTGATAAGTGCCGCCGGGTTGGTTCCGACTCATAACAACCCAGTTTACAGTTTCCAAGTAGTGGCTGGTGGGTTTGAACTTCTGACCCTGTGATTTTCAGTCTAGTACTTATCCTACAGTGCCACACCAGAACTCCAATGTGAAAATGGGTTTTATTGGCAGCACATACCTCATTAGAGTACCTCTGATCCTCTTGATCACTAAATGTCTTGTCATCACTAAAAGGAAGGCTATTTTATTGATTGTGTCCTTTCTCATGGAGCTCTGATAGCATAGTGGATACGAATTGGGCTGCTAACCTCAGGGTCAGTAGTTCAAATCTACCAGTCACTCTACAGGAGAAAGATGAGGCTTTCTGCTCTCATAAAGATTTACAGCCTCGGAAACCCTATCCAGGGTCGCTATGAGTCGGAACCGACTCAATGGAACTTAACAACAACAATGGCATTTCTTTAAGCATTTTTCCTCTTACGTTGGGAAGAAGTCTCAGACAATCAAACAAGTGCTGTGGCTACTTCCTCCAAGTCACACACTCCGTCCACTTTTTAATAGATATGTCTCTTCCTGGTATGGAGCTCCCAAACCATTTAGTGCCTGTGGTTCTACTATTCTAACCCCCAACGTTTTTTTTTTTTTTTTTTTTTAAACCATTCAGAGCAACTGTATCAGTAAGTGCTAACAAAGGTTTTTTGCAAAGGACAGAAAAACTGTTTCTTTTGCCCTTCCTTACCAGACTTCACACTCAATACATGTATTCATTCACATGATACCTTTATCGGTTTCTGGACTGATAAATTATTAGGAAACTCCAGTTTTTGTCTCCTGACCGCAAATCAAAACACGACATGACAATAAAGTTAAATAGCATAGAGAAGGAAATGTGTTGACTCTGAAGTGCAGAATAGAACTTGGATGTACATCTCACTCCAACTTACATTTTGTATTGTAAAACCTAAGTGGGCTATTGTTGTTGTTGTTAAATGCCATTGAATAGAGGTCCGGTATAAGGTTTCCAAAGAGCAGCTGATGGGTTTGAACTGCCAGCCTTGTGGTTCAAACCAACCTTGTGGTTAAGTGCTTTTTCTCCACTGCCATACCAGGACTAGTGTACAACAAACCAGAATCACCAAGTGGATAGTGTGTTGATTTACTCATTTATTGTTTTTTCATTTTTGATTGTGAATTGAGTGAAGGTTTACAGAGCAGATCATCAATTTTATATCCAACAGATCATGTGTTGCACTTCATCTCAATGATTGCAGTCCCCTCCAGGTAACATCACTTACCTGTTTCCTTCCCTGTGGTTCTTATTTCCATTCCTCCTTCTCTCCAAACCTTTCTGAATTTTGTCCTTGAAAAAATGTTGCCCTTTGGATCATGAATAGTAGACCATTCTATGGTGGATATACCTCACAAGTCTTGTTGCCCCTCCTATGTACCTATCTACTACCTGGCTGAAAATAGAGCCACAGACCTGAGTTCAGTTCCAGCCACAGACATGAGTTCAGTTCCAGGCCTGAAGAGTGACCAAGGGTCATAGTCATGCGGTCCCAACCATCTCTATTTGTGATTAGAAAGTCTGGCCTTTTTTTTTTTCTATTTTTTGAGTTTTGTTCCACATTTCACTCCCATTCTTCAGGACCTTCTAATGTGATCCCTTTTTGAACAGTTAGTCGTGGTAGGCAGGCACTATCTAATTCTTTTGATTTTGGGGTGGTGGAGACTGATTTTCACATGGCATATTAGTCATTAGACTCATTACTTCCAAGTATCTTCAGTTTCCACATTGATTCTTGAGGATGATGAGTTAGGGCATGTTGTCTCTGCTCATAAGACCTCCAAGAATGTTGAGTGAAGAGATATATAGGATCTCTCTTCTTTTATTCCTTATATTCTGTTGTATTTTCTGGTTAAAGTACATGCTACAAAACAGATTCCCATTGAACAGTTTCTCCACAGAATGTCCAGCAACACCCATAATGTTCTTTGCATTATTATATCAACATTCTCATTTCTGTGACAGTTGTTCCACTTTTATTAACTTAGTCTCGCTGCCCCCCGCTCCCTCATGGGTCTATGAATTTGGTCAAGCTATTATAAAAGCCCACTCCTGGGGCATTGATATGAATGGAAAAGAGGAAGATGGGCAGAGTAACAAGATGGCAGCTAAGGAGCTAACCAAGATGGGACAGCAAGGTTGCCCAAGCATGGTTAGGGCTAATCAGTGAAGACACATAGAAACATACTGGGTTACAGTTTCAAAGGAGCATCTCTTTAGCTTGCAGTATGAATTCCAAATGATGACCCTGAGCCTAGGCAACTACATCGGTTTCAATATGTGCTCATGTTTATGAGAGTCTACTTCTTTCTAAGGCAGGAGCAATTACTTTTTATAAACTTTTCAGTGAATATAATTTAGGTCCCATTAAAGAAGCTTAGCATTTTGGAACCATCAGATTTTAGGTGATCAATCCTGTCTTTGGTTCCTTTATCTCCTTTGGTTCTTATTAACATAAAAATAGATAGCACAGCTTTTGCCAAAACAAGGATTCCTTTTGTTCTCCTTGTTGCATTATATATGGTTTGCACAACTAAAGTGACTGTACAGTCCAGAAATCAGGTTTTAAGCTACAAACCTGGGTGAAGTCTAAGCCTGTTGTTGGTTACCCTCCCCCTATCCTCCACCCACCCACCCCCACACGCAATTCTCAAGTTTCACATATTTTAAAATCTGTTCTGAATTTAAGGGCACATCTCTATTGCTCTAGACTGTAATCTTCATCCACTCTTTCACCTAGAATGTTTAGTGCCAGAAGTCTACCATCCTTAACTTGGGGACTTCCGAGCAGTGTGATAGCCACAGAGCCAGCTGCTCCCCCTCTTGGCCAGTTCTGGGATTAAAACAATGTAAAGTGGAACTGCTAATTAACATAGCTGAATCCGTTGTCTCATAAATATGCTAATCAGCTACTCTGTTCTTCTGTTCAGTAGGCTTGGAAAAAAATTGCTCAGTGAAGAGAAAGGGAATAGAAATGATAGAAGTGGGGCATAATCTCTGTTTGGGGGACCACAATATGAAGCCCTCCCCTAAGATGTTTGGCATTTTGTGAGAGACTAGTTGTTTTGAAAAGATCTGCGTTAAATCAAAATCACCTAAACAGGGAGAAAAGATTTCAGAACTGCCATGTAAAATACATTTCTGAATTACGTCGCAAAAGTGATGTCATCGCTTTGGAGAAACATCTATATGAAATAACACTCTTAATCAGTGTTTGCTGGGGAGTTTTACATATTAAAAGAAATCCTCAGGAAATCAAAAGTTGTGGAGTGTTCATCTTTAGTTGTCATTTGAGGAATGAATCTAGCAACCGTGCACAGAATGGCTGTGTAGTTAACCCACTGTGACCTAGGCTGATTAGCTGGGTCTCAGTTTTCCCATCCGTAAAATGAGGGGGTTGAACTAGATCCTCTCTAAAAACCCTTTCAATTTGCCAGATTCTGTGAGTCTTCTCAACATGTGAGTAGACCAGCTGCTTTGGTGAAAGGTCTCACAAGATGTTAATTAGCCGCCTGTTCAGTCCCCTTATCATTTCTGAAGTCTCAGCTACTT